TTGCTGAACATTTGCTAACGACATGTTTTAAGCATCTTCACGCAGGCGTGACAGTCAGTTTCACGAGACTAATAATGCTCATTTAAGTATTAATGCTGCACTACAGTGCAACGTCTCCCTTACTTCCCGTTAAAACAGTACTTCGTTTAATTTAATACCAATAAAAGCCGTACATACCAGCAAAACGCTCTTCATCGATCCTGTGTGTGCTGCCGCGTTATGTTTTGTTTTGGAGCCGTTTGGAGCACGAAGGAGGAGCTGCGTGTCAGCTTAACCAATAAAAAGTGTAGCAGCAACAGCACGCGCTGTAGGCTTGTGCGTGCTGCGTAGGATGCATTCACGTCCGCTGAGAGATTTGGGAAATGTTCGTAAAAATCAAACAGTGTAATGTTTTCAGCGGGGTGGCAACAGGGGTGGCAAGGACTTCGTTTGGGGTGGCAATTGCCACCCCAACTAGCCTTCTGGCTCCGCCACTGATTTCGGGTGAGTACGTTCCCCTGAATAGTGACTGGCTGGGGTTCCTTCGGGTTCCCTAGCCACATTCCCTAGAAGAGACCCCTTCTAAATTTGAAGCTGTGGTCCTAGGCCCTTGAGCAGGCCCAGGTAGGCCTCTCATCAAACAATGTTTATCGAGGTTTTCCTGTGAAGCATATAGCTTGGGCTATGACCGAAGGGAATGCTGTCACTGACAGCTCAGTGTGTCTGAGGGTGAGTGGTTCTGGCATTTAATTTGAACTTGCTGGTTCTGACAGTTGTCACTGCCTATGGGCATGCACTCCCCTTGGCATGGTGGCGTTGGTATATCGTTCGCCAAAGCGTCAATCGACACAGCGCGAGTTCCTTTTCAAAAGGGAACGTCTAGGTTACGACTGTAACCTCGTTTCCCTGAGAACGAGACACTGCGTCTTTCACCATGCCTCGGGGCCTGCCTGCCAAACTGTCCCTTCAGACGAAAAGGTGTTTGTCATTTGTGCAAGGCGCCCTTATATACTTCCAGGTTGCATGTTAATGATGTCAGCAGCTGTCGCCGGTCATTATGATTGCCGTGATTTGATTGTGATTTCAGACACCTGTCACGCCTGAGGTGTTCCCTCAAAGCATCAATCGACGCAGTGCGAGTTCCCTGTTCTCAGGGAACAGAGGTTACAGTCGTAACCTAGACGTTATCAGTACATTTGATGGAGTAGATTAAATTGACATATCATTTAATGAAATATACTGTTACAAATTGTAGTATATACAGGTACCAATATATCCCATATACCTGAAAAACTGTCACTGTAGTTTTTTACGTGGAGTTTTTGGCAACCACAGGTGCCGGTTTTAAGTGTAAACACGATATTTACAGTGTACTCCATATTGCAAATCTTCCGAAGCCATATTATAATTTATGTGACAAATACAAAAAAAAATTGTATTTCGTTATTCACTCACAAATAGAGATTCAGCTAAGGGAAACACTTAATGAATAACTAAACTTTAAAGTCTATCCGTCCGTCAAAGTTTTTGTATGGCCACAACACTTTTTGTGTTTCACCTCAGAAACAAGTCATTTGGGTTTGGAAAAATCATAAAAGTGAATAACAATTTTTGGGTGAACTGTCCCTTTAAGAGATCCACTGGCAGTGGCAAAACTAGGATAACCGTTCGTATTGATTCATTGATCTGTAACTCCCATGGTTTGCTTGCTGACATCATTCATTCTCTCTTTATAATTCGCAGTCTTCCCTGACATTTCTTGTATCGACACCATCCCTGAATTATAAAGCTCTACAGTCATCAGCTGTACACACAAACACACACACCAGTGTTTCATCAAGTATCACAGTCACAAAGCGAACTCTCTTTTATCTCCATACTGAGCCTTTAATTGCCAGCCATTAATGTACGGTTCATGTGTAGGAACACAAATAAGCAACTCAATTGTTTTTTAGTTTAGGCTATTTTCCAAATACCTAGGAGAAGGAACAGGATCAATTATATGAGCCAGACTTGATCTAGCATTGCCAATTTGAGAACAATAGCTTAACATAACTGCAAACACAAACTAACCAATAAGCTAGTCAATGTGAATGGCACTACAATCAAACTACATAATTATAAAATGTAAAACATTGTCATATATATTATCATATATAATCTCATTCATAATACTGTCATAATCTCACATTTTAACTTTGACTCTAATTTAGACTCTGAGGTTGTGTAAAACACCAAAACAGCACATTCATCTAAAAATGATTATGAAATCAAGTCATACAGAAGAGAAGGATCTAAGATATTGATATACATGGAAACAGCTGTGACATTGGGGACAGGCACTTTTTTAGATGCTCATGCTTTAGTGATGCCATGGCCTCAATAAAAACCAAAGGAACACTGAGCAAAATGAGGTCATTGTGGGCTTAGGTAGGGGAGAGTGGGAGGGTGAAGGAGGGGTGCGTGTATCTGGGCCTGACTGTTGGCAGGCCTCAGTGTTGGCAGGCCTCTGTCTCACTGTCAGTCAGTCAACTTAATACAGCTGCCACTAAATAAGCCCAATTATGCACATAACACAGTTTGTGGCAGCTTTAAATGAATAACATACGTACTTAAAGTACTTTTAACCAAAAACATTAAATAGCATGAAACTCCATGGAGCTTCATTAATATAGAACGTTTGTGAATTCCCAATTACAAATACTGTTCAATAGATATTTTGAACATATTATTACGATTTAAAATAGCTTTTTTTCTGTTTATATTTTAAAATGTAATTTATTCCTGTGATGGCAAAGCTGAATTTTCAGCATCATTACTCCAGTCTTCAGCGTCACAGGATCCTTCAGAAATCATTCAAATTTGCTGATTTGGTGATCAAGAAATATTTCTTATTATTATCCATGTTGAAAATAGTTGTGCTCCTTAATATTTTTGAATTATATTTGAAATAGAAATATTAGGGTGGGATCTTATGCTTTTAAAGCTAGCTTCCGTGCTATTGCTAGGTTCTATGAAGCTGCACACTCTAGCTTTAAAGTCTTTGTAAATTATTATTGAACATGTTAACACTTTGGGGGTGACACATTACAGCATCTCACCTGGACCCCCAACACCACATCACTTCCTGCGCTGTTAAGAGCAAGTCTCCCCCCACCCATCCTCACCACATCCTACAGGGCCACCATTCAGAGTTTGCTGACCAGCTGCATCACTGTCTTCTTTATGATGTAGAAAAGGCTAAAACATGCCAATGATAATGGCAATTTGATGAGGATGTTTCTGATTGGGTGATTGTTTCATTTTGATCATTAACCTTTTAACCAATTAGTATGACATCTTGAGTGGAACTTGTCAGCTGTTGTTAATTTTCTTTTTATGAGTAACTCAGTATGGAGATATTTTCTGTTGCTTGTGCAGTGTTTCGTCAACAGAACAATCCAAAAAACACATTAAATAACAGTACAACCCACTGAAGAGAAGAATGTCTATTACTCTGCAGCCTCGCTTTCATTCCCGTTAAAAATCAAAGATGGTGCTGCCACAAATAAGGTCTATAGTGACTGTACGAGTAGGCAACACACAGGCGTTACAAACCATCCACCTGTGGTAAAACTCTCTTGTCTCTCTATGTGCCCTGGACACTTTAACATCCTCACTGCTACCCAGACTCACCAGGATAATACATATGTCTACATGTGTACATACACTACAGACTCACCTTGCACTGTCTCCAAGTTGCGCTGTTTCCCCTGAATGTCTCTTTTTGCACCACTGCACTACGTGTTGTTACAAGTGAAATTCAAATGATATGCCCAGGGTATATGCACAGTTTATGTAAAGTATTTGTATAATTTTGATTATGTATATGTATAGTTAGATTAAGTATATGTGTAGTTAATATTTGTATATGTATAGTTAGATTATATATAGTAAAATTAAGTTTTTCAATAGATTATCTTTGTGTAGGTTTATACTTGTTTATTTGTTTATACTTCAACTTTTTATATGTTTATATTTATGTTTAAATATGTAGCACTGCAGTCCTGCGAGGACCGACATTTCGTTCCACTGTAAGTGTTTACATATGGCAGAAAGACAATAAGGGCCCTATTTTAACGATTTAAGCATATGGTCTAAAGCGCACGGCGCAAGTGCACTTAGGGCGTGTCCTAATCCGTGTCCTTTTGCTAGTTTAACGACGGGAAAAATGGTCGGCGTGCGGTGCATGCGGTCTAAAAGGGTTGTCTCTTAATGAGTAATGGGTGTGTTTTGGGCGTAACAAGAAATAAACCAATGAGAGTCTTATCTCCCATTCCCTTTAAAATCAGTTGCGCTCGCACCATGGTGGATTCGCTATTCACATAGCTGAATTTGCAAACGGAAAAACTGAACGCTTCTCTAGCGAGGAAACATATTTGCCCGTGTGCAAGCAGACCATCTATGGGACAAAGTGTACGTACATTGTGGACCCGCCTATAGGCGCATATGACTAGCGCGCTCTTTAAATAACAAAACAAAAAAACATTGCGCTATTGACTTTAGTCCAGGTTTCAGTTGGTCAATGGCGCAGTCTATTTCAGTTACCTCAAAATAGCAATGCACCAACAGTGCGTCTGAACACACCTCATTTTCACACCAGCACGCCCATGGGCGCACAAATGGGCGCAAATGCATGTGCTATTTAAACAACGTGGCGCAGGACGTGAAAATGTTAACTGCGTCGGGCTGAAACTAGCAAAAAAAAACACTTGCGTTGACCCTGGCACAGCATTGCGCCGGGTGTGTGACATGGCCCTTTATCTCACTAGACTTGACTTGATTAGAGAGGACAGTTATTCAGAAGGACAAAATGATCAGTCTGGACTCGAACCTGCATCACCTGTGTGAGCACAAGACTCTTTTAAACTAAGTTAATCCTAACTTATTTGTTCGATATAAAATTTGCATCAAATATATATATATATATATATATGCACTTGCAGGATATTGCATGGTGTTGGTGCATTATAAATACTCACCTTTGACATTTTCCACATCCTGAGAGGCGATAACAAATCCAAAGCCTTCACCTGGCTTCCTCTTCAGCTCTACCTCATACCCCCGTAGCACAGGCTGTTCTTTCTGCTCTGTTCTTAATCTGGGACTGAGCACCGTCCCTCCTTCTTCCAAACTCATCCAATCACGTGGCTCAAGCGTGAGAGTGACAGGTACAGAATCCAGGAAGCTGGTGCTCTGGACCAATGAGGAGCGCACCAGCGCTGGAGAGGGTGGAGTAAGAGAGCTACGCGATAATGGCACAGAGTCGATAAGAGGGACTTCAGAGTCAGAGGCGGACCGAGGAGGGGGAGGAGTTAGTCGCCGCACAGAATTAGGGGAATTGGAGAAATGGGAGGTCCCTACAACGAAAGGATAGAATTATTAATATTTGATGAACAGGGATGAAGACTACACAATTGTTATGGATTTTCGGCAATCTAAAAATGCCACTTTATTTAAAAAAACAAATAGTACATACAGTAGGTTTAAAGTCTGAAAGTTGAATTGAAAAATGAACATGAATATCTGAATGTCTATTTATTTGGTTTGCATCCTGAAAGCATGACTCGAGCTGCATGAAATCCAAAAGTTTGAGCAAAACCTGATGATCAGGTATGCATGATATATCAGTATTGGCCGATAAATGTGTCTCATAAATAAAATAAAGGTAAAGGTATTTTATCTATTGCAGACAAACGTTGTATTTCTTCATTATAATAAAAAAAAATTAAAAAAAAAAAAAAATTAAATAGCCTGTAACTAAGGTTTTTATCCAGCCAATATATATTCAAAATATAAATAACTGTGGTAGTGGCAACAATTTCTATATCACACCTACTGAGGATAATGTTATGGAGAATTATTTGAAAATATTCCAAATTATCACATGATTAGTGACCTATAAATAGTGCAGAATCTAAAATATTTCTTAGACATTTTACATCATTCTAAATCCTAAAGCTTTGTTTATTCGAAAGTATAAATGGGGGACAATTTATATTTTCAATGTGAACACTGTAATGTAATGAGTGAACATATAACTTACCCCCTCTGTAAACCAGGAGAATAACCTCCCCTTTTTTAGTGTGTTCTTGCAAAATCCTTTGGACCTTGAATAATAAACAAAAATAATATATATATATATATTATAATTGTACACCATAAAAAAAGCTAAATATTATCAGCTCATTTTCTACCTGTGCAAAGCTGAGACTTTGTACATCTGCTCCATTGATCTTCACAATTGCATCTCCAGACTGCAGCCCATTACACTGTCTGTGGTCCCAGACTTTCTTCACAAGGGTCTGTCTGCCTCCATGACCTCCTGCCGTCACACTGAACCCCATATTGCTGCCTCTCTCGCATTTAGCCAAGGCAACAGGGACTAATTCCCCACTTCCCGCTATTCCTCCAACTCCACTTCCAATCACAGCGCTCATGGCTCCAGGTGAAGGAATGCTGTTTGGGCTGCCGCTGCTGGCACTGGCTGTGCCGTTGAAGGTGAAGTAAGGCCCGTCTGAATGGGCGCTGCTAGGTGGGGTTAGCAGTGTATTTTGTGGTTTACGGAGATGGGAGTAGCGCCTTCCTCCTCCAGGAGAGTAAGGGACGGGACCCGGACTTAGTTCTGTGTGGGGTAGGGGCAATCGAGATATGGGCGGTGGAGTACTTGAGGAAAGGTCACTCTCAGAAGATTTGAAGGAGTACAGGCGGAGAGGTGGCGGAGTGGAGAGAGAGTTGTTGTTGTGGTTACGGATAAACGAGGCCCTGTGAAGATAAAAAGAGAAAGACCATGTGGTCAGGCAAAGCAAATCGCTGAAGACATAATGTATCATAATCAGGGTTGGTAGGAACAGAATACATGTAAGTTACAACTAAAATGCTGGTAATCAGTTAGATTCAAACAGTATTTAGATTTAACAGCATTGAAACACTCTTATGGTGTGTGTTTCATTCCTCCGAGTAGACAGTTGACCAAGTTGTCAAGAACAAAAACTGAAATCATTGAGGAACTTCAATTTTGGGAATTATAATATCATTCTGCTCATAACAAAAAGGCTTTGACAGATGAAACAAGATTACGGCAATATTTGGTTTGTCTGTGTTTTTATGCATTGTTACAAGAAAAAATGGGAAATATAAGAAATGTTTAGCATTTGACAGCTACAAATAATGTATTTTCTACCTCATTCCATGAAAAGAATCCACCTATGATCGGTAAAAAAAAAAGTTGGGGTGAAAGTTGGGAACTCATTGGGGTTTTGAGTAAATCTTGAGAAGCATCATGTTATCATTTAGCTTTATGCTAAACTAAAGTGCTATTTCTAGTCCTTACATACACCTGATACCAGGCGCTATTACATGATACAATCTGTCAAGAAAAAAATCAATTTCAGATCATAGATAGATCGTAGATAGATCATAGATAGATCATAGAAAGATTATAGATAGATCATGATCATGTTATCATTTAGCTTTATGCTAAACTAAAGTGCTATTTCTAGTCCTTACATGCTGATACCAGGAGCTATTACATGATACAAACTGTCAAGAAAAAATCAATTTCAGATCATAGATAGATTGATATTAAAAAAATGTTTCTTGAGACCCAAATCAGCATATTAGAAAGTTTTCTGAAGTATCCTGTGACACTGAATACAAATGATGCTAAAAATTCAGGTTTAACATCACAGTATTACATTACATTTTAAAATATATTAAAACAAAACAACTTAAAAAGTCATTTTAAATTCTAAAATTATTTCACAATATTACGTTTTTAATGTGTTTTTGATCTAATACGTGCAGCTTTGGTGAGCAAAAAGTCTTGATCAGTAAAAAAACCTTAAAAGAAAATAAATGTACAGTTAAGAAACAGTGGCAGATTTTCTTTCACTTGTTTATACTTAAAACAAGTCAAATAAGCAATCTAACAAAATATGTTACAAATTACATTTTACAGCACGCATTCTATAATCTAACCCTGATCATAGCAGTGACAATATAACATATAAAATCCTTTCACCTATGTGATCCAATCGCGGACACCACCTCACTGTCACTCTGGCTGGCTAGTTCTGCACTCTGTAACCTCCTTATGCTTCTTGCAGTGCGTGGCGGTCTCAGGAATCCACTCCCATACCCGTTAGAGTACTGGTATGATGATGGAGGTCTTTGAGGTGAAGCGATCGGAGGTGAATTACCATTAGCATCCAGACTGAACCTTGATGCCCGTACTCTGAGATTCCTTGAGGATCCCCTCTCAAATTCAGACCACATGGGACCGTTGTGGTTGAGGTGTAGCTGTGCGTATGGGAGAGGAGCCTGGGCCTGGGGTTGGGTGGTGGTTGGTGGAGGCAGATGTAGTGACTGGTCTTGGGAAGCCATTAGCCTAGAATTGGGCATCTTCGGGCAGCCGTCAGAGTTATAGAGCATAGGGTAGCCCCTACGGACTACAACATCCACAGTATGACCCACCGGTATGGCTTTCAAGATTTCCACTACCTCTTTGTGAAAGAAGCCGAGCACACAGGTATCATTGATGTACACCAGAATGTCCGCTGGAAAAAAGGCAAGAGATGGAACGTGTTAAATTGCATGCGATTCATAATATGAGAGTTCAACCTAAGTTCAAAACTATTTAACTAAATAAGACAGAGAGTTGGGAGCCCAAGGCTCATCGATGCAAAAGTGTAACGAAGGCTATCCTGTCTGGTCCGAGCCAACAGAAGGTCTACTATGGCAAAAATGTTCATGATGGTTATGGGAGGAATGTGTCACAACACACTCTGCTGCATATGGGAAAGACCAATCAGAGTGCCTATGATGACTCCTGTCCACCAACAAAAGTATCTACAATGGGCACACGAGCCTCGTAACTGGACCTTGGAGCAGTGGAAGAAGGTCGCCTGGTCCGATAAGTCCCGTTTTCTTTTACATCAGGTGGACGGCCGTGTACGTATGTGCCATTTACTTGGGGAAGTAATGGCGCCAGGACGAACTGTGGTACGGCGGGAAGCCATTGGAGGAAGTGTGACGCTCTGGGCAATGTTTTGATGGGAAACCCCGGGTCCGGCCATTCATGTGGACGTAAATTTGACATGTGCCACCTACCTAAACATTGTTGTAGACCAGGTACACCCCTTCATGACAATGGTGTTCCCTGGTGGAATTGGCCTCTTTCAGCAGGATAATGCACCCTGCCACACTGCACACATTGTTAGGAATGGCTTGAGGAACAAAATAAAGAGTTTAAGGTGTTGTTCTGGCCACCAAATTCCCCAGATCTCAATCCAATTGAGCATCTGTGGGATGTGCAGGACCAACTTAAGATTGAACATACATATACAGGTCCTTCTCAACAAATTAGCATATTGTGATCAAGTTCATTATTTTCCATAATGTAATGATAAAAATTAAACTTTCATATATTTTAGATTCATTGCACACCAACTGAAATATTTCAGGTCTTTTATTGTTTTAATACTGATGATTTTGGCATACAGCTCATGAAAACCCCAAATTCCTGCCTCAAAAAATTAGCATATCATGAAAAGGGTCTCTAAACGAGCTATTAACCTAATCATCTGAATCAACTAATTAACTCTAAACACCTGCAAAAGATTCCTGAGGCTTTTGAAAACTCCCAGCCTGTTTCATTACTCAAAACCGCAATCATGGGTAAGACTGCCGACCTGACTGCTGTCCAGAAGGCCATCATTGACACCCTCAAGCAAGAGGGTAAGACAAAAAGAAATTTCTGAACAAATAGGCTGTTCCCAGAGTGCTGTATCAAGGCACCTCAGTGGGAAGTCTGTGGGAAGGAAAAAGTGTGGCAAAAAACGCTGCACAACGAGAAGAGGTGACCGGACCCTGAGGAAGATTGTGGAGAAGGACCGATTCCAGACCTTGGGGGACCTGCGGAAGCAGTGGACTGAGTCTGGAGTAGAAACATCCAGAGCCACCGTGCACAGGCGTGCGCAGGAAATGGGCTACAGGTGCCGCATTCCCCAGGTCAAGCCACTTTTGAACCAGAAACAGCGGCAGAAGCGCCTGACCTGGGCTACAGAGAAGCAGCACTGGACTGTTGCTCAGTTTTGCATGTCATTCGGAAATCAAGGTGCCAGAGTCTGGAGGAAGACTGGGGAGAAGGAAATGCCAAAATGCCTGAAGTCCAGTGTCAAGTACCCACAGTCAGTGATGGTCTGGGGTGCCATGTCAGCTGCTGGTGTTGGTCCACTGTGTTTTATCAAGGGCAGGGTCAATGCAGCTAGCTATCAGGAGATTTTGGAGCACTTCATGCTTCCATCTGCTGAAAAGCTTTATGGAGATGAAGATTTCATTTTTCAGCACGACCTGGCACCTGCTCACAGTGCCAAAACCACTGGTAAATGGTTTACTGACCATGGTATTACTGTGCTCAATTGGCCTGCCAACTCTCCTGACCTGAACCCCATAGAGAATCTGTGGGATATTGTGAAGAGAAAGTTGAGAGACGCAAGACCCAACACTCTGGATGAGCTTAAGGCCGCTATCGAAGCATCCTGGGCCTCCATAACACCTCAGCAGTGCCACAGGCTGATTGCCTCCATGCCACGCCGCATTGAAGCAGTCATTTCTGCAAAAGGATTCCCGACCAAGTATTGACTATTGAGTGCATAACTGAACATAATTATTTGAAGGTTGACTTTTTTTTTTTTTGTATTAAAAACACTTCTTTTATTGGTCGGATGAAATATGCTAATTTTTTTAGACTTTTCATGAGCTGTTTTGGGTTTTCATGAGCTGTATGCCAAAATCATCAGTATTAAAACAATAAAAGACCTGAAATATTTCAGTTGGTGTGCAATGAATCTAAAATATATGAAAGTTTAATTTTTTTCATTACATTATTTCATTACACAATATGCAATTTTTTTTAGAAGGACCTGTATTTCTAAGTCTGCGTGTAATAGCGAAGTGAGAGAGAGCGTGTTCATAATTTCACATTTTACTTGTAAATGTGTGTGTCGGCAGTGAGTGATAGCTGGATTACTCCATGCTGGCCATTAGGATTAGAGGGAGATCGAGACTCTCGTTCTACAGGATCACACAATCACAACACTAATCCACAGTGGGACAGAAAATGTAATATAGAGGAAGAGAAAAAGAGAGCAGCAACCTATAGATAAAACATAGTCCTCTACCGCAGTGGGCGGCTGAAGAGAGATGAGGTGTTACCTGTGTTAAGTGTTGAAGGTCCTCCAGGGGTGATGCTGTAAATCTGCAGGAACTCCCTCCGCCTGCTGCCTCCCACTATGTTGAAGCCAAAGCCCCGTGGACCCTTCACCAAACGAGTGTGAACCGAGAAGCCTCTCAATTCACCCGGCTGGTCTGTAAACTCTGCCACTACAAAGCACAAAACCAGAGAAAGAAGATGGTGAGAGGTTTAAATATGATGACAGGCAGATTATTTAGGAAATTAACCCATTAAGAGTAAAGAAAAGAAGCAATGATTAACATTACAAAAGATGGATAGTGAAAGGTAAAGATAAATATGAAATTTTTCCAGAGACAAGTGAATCTAATTTCTGTCCCGCTAGCTCAACATGATGCTAGCACTGCTAAGATCATGGAATCAAATCCAAGGGAACACACAAACTGACAAAAATGTATACCTTGAATGCACTGTAAGTAGCTTTGTAAGTCTGTAAGTGTCTGCCAAATGCATGAATTTGAAATGTCTGAAGGAAAAGAGAGGTAGAAGTACAGACAGAGGTAAGCATTTGCATGTTTGAGCACACCGTTCAAGCGTATGTTGAACAGCAGATTCGCATGCAGCACTTTACAGCACAAAATGTAAAAACATAACCACCCAAAGCAAACATGGAATTTTAAAGCTGTAATGACATCTTGTTCTTATAACCTAAACTATTTACATTTATACCACCCTCTACAGTTAGCATTGATGAACTGCATCTTATATACAGACTTCAAAGCAATAACTTTGTACACTTTTAGTATTATTTTCTTACTAAGGAGTACTAAAGCACTGAAGAGTATAATACTGGTATTTCAGATGATTTATAGACATTTTATTTTATTCATTATTATTTTATATATATGTGTGTATATATATATATGATATAACTAAATATACAGTTTATAAAATAAATGTCTAAAATGATTTATCTGGTCACCAGGTTATCATTTGCTTGTCATGACATAAGAATTCAATTAAAGAAAAAACATAAAAAGTAAACAATGTTACTTATTTTCAATGTTATTTCTAATCCAATCTAAAAAGAGTTTGTGTCTTCAGTTCTTTGTAATTTCATGGAAATAATGACCAGTACATTCTTCAAAATCTCATTTGTAATCACTCATCATGTTATACAAGCATAGATAAACAGATACTTAACCTGAAATACTTAGAAAAAGATATTTTAAAAAGTTTGCATGTGCGTTTTTTGGTTAAGTATCATATTTGATACATCAGGCCTTTATGACTCTATATACTAGTATGATATAGGATATAATTTGGATCTTATACTCGAGAAGAAAAAATACATCAATCTTATTCAGTGACCCAAACTGAGCAAAAATATGCAATTGGTGCATTTGTTGATATTTATATGTCCAAAAAATGAGATGAAATTCTGATAGCTTGTAATAAGATTTTATGTATAACAGTTTAGCAGATTACTTACATCATTCAATAACTCCTGATAATATGTTTTAGTAAGATTATTTTTAAATGCTCAGTTTTATCAAAGTTCTTCAGTTTTTATTGTGTGTGTGTGTGTGTGGGGGGGGGGGGGGGGGGGGGGCATTGTATTGCAATGCAATACAATGATGATTGAGAGATGAACAAATTAACATTCCTCAAAAGCCTGATGCATCATATTTGATACTCACATTTTTATATGATTTAAACAATGCATTGCAATGTATTGCATTGCATTGTATTGCAATGCAATACAATGATGATTGAGAGATGAACAAATTAACATTCCTCAAAAGCCTGATGCATCATATTTGATACTCACATTTTTATATGATTTAAAAAAATATTATGAATAATCAAGTAAACCTAAGTTGCTTCAATCTAGTAAATTATCATCTTGAGATACTACTAAGAATATAGTTAGTATGTTATTCTTGCATTTACTTTATAAAATCAGTATAGATTTTACAGCAGAAAGACACGTACACTACGGTCTAAAGAAGGGCATTTTGAGAAATATACTAAAAGGCATTTTACTTGCTAAAAAGTATCATATCTTGCAAATAGCTATCAATCAGGTGACAGAGGTTTTCAGCTAAATCTTGATGCCTTAGAAAAATTGTGTATCAAATATGATAGAGTAGGCTTATACTTGGGTTAAGAACATGTTAAATCTTCCATACATAGGTAGGTTTAAAATATACACAAATTGTACTACCTGAATTGATCAACTGAAGAAATAACCAGAATGGGCCTACCTTACAAACATTTTTGAGTAGCTTTTTTTAGAAAGGGAAGATGTTTTGCTCATGGGTGATATTTCATGCATGGTAAGGCTCAATGATGAGTAAAAGTGGGTATTTTTTTTGTTAACCATTTGGCATAAAAATCACACCGTGACAGTCCTATATATAGACTTTATTTACCCGCAAAAGAGTTGTGCAACCTCACTTCTTTTTTTATCAAACTGTCAAGCAAATATCCTAATGCAGCTGCAGCACCACAGGAAGTAGCGTATTTACAAGATAATAAAAACTCTAGATAAAAAAAAGTGTGGACTAAAACTTTTATACAGTGCATATACTAAATATTTATTGTTATTTACATCTAAAACTGTTACATGACTTAAACCCTAATGGAAACAATGCAATAGAATAGAATAGAATAGAATAGAATAGAATAGAATAGAATAGAATAGAATAGAATAGAATAGAATAGAATAGAATAGAATAGAATAGAATAGAATAGAATCTTACATTCTGACATACAGACATTCTCTCTGCTGTGAGTTCGGCGATTAAGCCAAGAGGATGGCTTTAGATGATGGCTGCAGGACAAACACATAACACAAGATGTCAGTGTTGTCATTGAAAACATCACTGTGCATGACTGGAAGCATTTCTTCACAATTCAAATATCACACTTAAAAGAATTGTGTTGCTAATAAATGTTCTATGGACTGCATAATAAAAAAGCAGCTAATCATGTACTTGTTCATAGTTAAGATAGCAAAAAAGTCTTACATTTTTAAATGGGAGGACAAAATATTTCCATATCTCTTGATGTCAAAATCCAATTCAGACTCTACCATCTGTGTCTTGGTTGAAGCCAAATTATATAGATGTCAACCAGCACAGGTTGTGTGACATTCCCTCATCCTCAAAACCAAGATCAAAGATATCCAAGGTCAATAAAATATGACCCAAACTGCATTAAAACAAACAGATTTACATTTAAGAGACTTTTAGTAATATCAACAAACATATTTGGGTCACACTTTATATTAGGTGTCTTTAACTACTGTATACTTACTACTATAGTTACAATGTACTGAGTGTGTTCATGTTGTATTGCCAAACACCTTTTCTGCTTTTGAGCTGAGGTACAGGTAAAGTTCGGGACAGGTTTTGTGGTATGGTTAGGTTTAAGGGTGGTTTAAGAGGGAAGGGTCACTAGTGTATTAGCAAGTAGAACCCAATTTTGGGGCCACTTGTAAGCAAAAAACCCATTGTATAGACAAAAACAGAAGAGAAATTCTTCAAAATATCTTCTTTTATGTTCTGCTTTTTTGGATGAACCATTGATATCCATTGATTCTATTGAAAAACAGGGTCCTGAAGTAAAACCAGCTGTGTTTTTAGTGCTCTAAATCTTGTGGTCTATGGGATTTACACAGTATAAATCATTCATAGTGATCATTTATCTTCTTACTCTTTGTAATAGGCATTCCCTGAGTCGCTGTACATCATCTCCCAGTTTTCTGACCCTGTCACCCGTGCTCCTCTACGAGGTCCGAGCCCATTCTCCAAGGCACTGCCGTCTCCTCCACTTGAATTTCGTGATTGGCTGGGGGATGAAGTGGGTACGGGGGCACTGCTCGCCCCAAGCGAACCACCTAAAACACCAATGAAGAGAAAACAAACTGAAACACAAAGACTATTCTGTCTGAGAGCTTCCATTTAAACATTCATTGAATTATTATTCATAGTCATTCTCTTTTCTATTTAGTACTAAATGGGTTTATTTCTACTATTGGACACATGAAAGCAAGAACAGCAAAATTAAACTATTATTGTGCATTACCATTATATAGGTTTCTATTTATAGTTTGCCATTTACATTTTCATTATGTCACCTGAGTTTGCATGTGTGTGTGTGTGTGTGTGTATGTGTGGTTCAGGTACACCCTACGTTATGGGGACAAAATGTCCCCACAAAGATGGCACAAACAGCTTATGTTTTTTTTGGAAAACAGCTTATAAATCATACTAAGTGTCGTTTTCTAAAAAAAGGTAAAAAGGTATAGGTTTAGGGTTAGGGGATAGGATATACAGTTTGTACAGTATAAAAATCATTATGTCTATGGAATGTCCCCATAAAGCATTAAAACCCAACGTACGTGTCAGCTAAATATGTTTACCATACTATAACTGAACTGATCAAATAGTGTTTAATTCAGCAATTAGAAATGAACTCAGTAATTAGACAGAGAGCACATCATTTTTTAATTCAGGAGTTTCAATCTGACCCATTGCCACAAGAGTATAAAATTAAGCACCCATCCACACAGTCTGCATTTACAAACATTTGTGGAAAAAAAGAGTCGTTCTGAAGAGCTGTGAATTCAAGTGTGGTACTGTAATAGGCTGATACCTATCGCACCTTTGCGATAAGTCAGTTCATGAAATTTCATGAGAAATTTCATGCTAGATATTTCATGGTCAACTGTAAGTGGTATTATTTGGAAGTGGGAGCTTTTAGGAACAGCAGCCACTCAGCCATGAAGCAGAAGACCATGTAAAGTCACAGAGTAGGGTCACCGAGTGCTGAGGCGCATGGTGTGTAAACTTCAACACTCTGCCGATTCTATAGCTGAAGAGTTCCAAACTTCCACTGGCATTAATACCAGCACAAAAACTGTGAGGCGGGAGCTTCATGGAATGGGTTTCCATGGCCGAGCATCTGATGAAGTGGTGTAAAGAGTGCTGAGGCTAGTCCTAAAATGGTCCAGGTCATACTTAGGAGGGAGAGGTTATTATGTGAGTATAGGAGACCATAAGTCTGAGTGGACATCCATGACATGTGGAGTCCCTCAAGGCTCAATTCTTGCGCCACTCCTGTTCAACCTGTACATGCTCCCACTGAGCCAAATAATGAGAAAGAACCGAATCTCTTACCACAGCCATGCAGACGACACACAGCTCTACTTAGCCCTATCGCCTAACGACTACAGCCCCATTGACTCCCTGTGCCAATGCATTGATGAAGTAAACAGTTGGATGTGGCAAAACTTTCTTCAGTTAAACAAAGACAAAACTGAAGTCATTGCGTTTGGAAACAAAGATGAAGTTCTCAAGGTGAACACATACCTTGACGCTAGGGGTCTAACTACTAAAAATCAAGTCAAGAATCTTGGTGTGTCTCTAGAGTCAGACCTTAGTTTCAGAAGTCATGTCAAAGCAATAACTAAATCTACTATCATCTGAAAAATATTGCAAGAATTAGATGCTTTGTTTCCAGTCAAGACTTAGAGAAACTTGTGCATGCTTTCATCACCAGCAGGGTAGATTATTGTAATGGACTCCTCACTGGCCTTCCTAAAAAGACCATAAGACAGTTGCAGCTCATACAGAACGCTGCTGCCAGAATCCTGAGCAGAACCAGAAAATATGAACACATCACACCAGTCCTCAGGTCTTTACACTGGCTCCCAGTTACATTTAGGATTGATTTTAAAGTATTATACTGGTATATCATTCAATGGACTAGGACCTCAATACATTGCAGATATGCTCACTGAATATAAAAGATCACTCAGATCATTAGGATCACATCAGCTAGAAATACCAAGGGTTCACTCTAAGCACGGCGAGTCTGCTTTTAGCTATGCCAGCCGCAGCTGGAACCAGCTTCCAGAGGAGATCAGATGTGTGCTCCTACAGTAGTCACATTCAAATCCAGACTCAAAACACTTCTGTTTATGAGCATTTACTGAATGAGCACTGTGCCACTGTAAGTCCGACTGTTTGCACTGTATTTTATTTTTTATTCTAAACTGTTTTAATTATTCTTATTTCTTTTGATCATTTTAATTTCTTCTATGTAAAGCACTTTGAATTACCATTGTGTATGAAATATGCTATATAAATATACTTGCCTTGCCTAAAGCACGGCACCAGTGGACTCTGGAGCAGTGGAAATGTGTTCTGTGGAGTGATGAATCACGCTTCCCTGTTTGGCAGTCTGATGGGAGAGTCTGGGTTTGGCAGATGCCAGGAAAACATTGCCTACAGTATCTTGACTGCATTGTGCAAACTCTAAAGTTTGGTGGAGGAGGGATAAAGATTTGGGGCTGTTTTTCAGATGTTAGCTATTGGGCCCTTACTTCCGGTGAAGGAAAATCTTAATGCTTCGACATACCTAGATATTTTGGACAATGCTGCTTCCAAGTTTGTGGGCACAGTTTGGGGAATGCCCTTTTCTATTCCAGCATGACTTTGCCCCAGAGCACAAAGCAAGCTCCAAAAAGACATGGTTGGATAAGTTTGGTGTTGAAGAACTTGACTGGCCCACAGAGAGCCCTGACCTCAACCCCATCGAACACCCCTGGGATGAACCGGAACAGAGATTGCAAAAGCAGGCTTTTTCGTCCAACTTCAGTGTCTGATCTCACAAATGCTCTACTGGATGAAAGGGCAAAAAATCCCACAGAAACACTTGTGGAAAGCCTTCCCAGAAGAGTGGAAGCTGTTATAGCTGCAAAGGGGGACCAACTCTTAGAAATGCAATGTCATTGAAGTCCCTGTAGCTGTAATTTTACATGACAGCCATCGGCACAGATCCTCAGCAAAGACCACGGGAACCAGACAAGTCCTCTGAACCTACGACCATACTACGTCCATACCTATCTTCAACCAAAGGAACTGGATGAAATATTTGAATGCTACCGATACACAATCTAATTATGACTTATGCGGCCTGAATCATAATCACACCATGTTCGTTCATTTGCACTGACACTATGGGATGGCAACGGAACTGAGCTAGACGATGACATCACTGTTTTCTGCAAAACTGCTTTATAGATGAAATGAACTAATTTAATAATTGATGATCTTCACAACGGAACTGAATCAACTCTGAACTGACTTCAGCTGAACAATGACATTATTTTCTTTTAGAGCTGCTGTACAGCCGAAAATAAACTGTTTGCATCATTGAATCATTTTCCTGTTATCACTGAAAAGCTGCTTTGAAACAATCTAAAAAGTGCTATAGAAATAAAGATGATTTGACTTAATGGTCAGGTGTCGCAATACTTTTGTCCATGTAGCGTACGACAACACTAACAGTGGTTTAGTGCATCACTTTCAATTCATTTATTCAAAAATATATGACAAATTAAATAAAAAAATAATGGCTTGAATATACCTCTTCTATAAAGAGAATGTTTTTCCTTTTTGAGTTCAAATGTATTACTATATTTTTGTTCATAAAATTGAAATATCAGGAATACAACTGTTCTGATATCATGATGAAGAAAAAGAATGAAACTCTCAGTAATATTCTTTTTAAGTAGTTTTGAAAAATATTTTATTTCATAGTTAAGCAGTTTTGTCTTAAAATATTATCTAAAAATGTTATGACATATATCAGGTTGTTAATGCCATGCCCAAAAACGTTAATGATCTTTATGAATTATTAATTAATTTTATTTTTACTGATTACTGAATTTTATTTCAGTAATCAAGGGTATTCCATACATATAAAATAGGAGGTTCACTATGGTGATTAAATGTGTTTGTCATTCCCAAAACAAACTTTTTAGAAATTTGATTAAGCTAAAAAGCAATACCAAGTTTTCCCCATTCTAAATTCTAAAGGAAATCGCTTCAGTGTCAATTGTGAAATGTACTGTGCGCAGGGTCAGCATAAGACACGGAGCGCTACATTGAATCCATAGAGGCAGATCGGTATGTTGATTGGCTTCAATGTCATGCTTTGATCGATGCCTCTGTCATCTATGCCACTACCCATGGGCTGAAGACACCAGGGCTTGACAAAAGTGCACAGACAAACAAAACCCAAGTGAACTTAGGAAAGAGTTGACTGGACAGTTTTGTCGGCTTGTAGTCTGAACTCTGAAATGTCTTCTGACATTTATTGTTGCTTCATAGCATAAGTAGTGATGCACTGAAATACATTTTTCACTGAAACACCAAAACCGAAATTACAAATTTCATGTAACTGAAAACCAAACATATACATTTTGGGTAACAACTTTCAGGTAATTGGATAATTGTATGCTGGTCAGAGTGTTGTTTTGTCTGGTGATAAATTAAACTAGTAAAGTTCTTTGGGAATCAGCAACATCTCTATTTTCACATATTTTACATAGTGATACTTCAGGATCCTTTTTGGGCACAGTGAAAAACATTGTCACTGCTGACATGTTCATTTTATCCATGTTGTGAGCACCAAATAGACGCTGACACGGTCAAAGATGGGCAACATCGCTAAAGCGCATATTAAATGTCATTGTTTTGGACATTGTTTTCCTCCAATTGGGTTTTCTGTACTTGCAGATATATAATATTAAGTGTAGCCTACTTAAAGAGAGTACACTTTCATGTCAATGTTTAGTACAAAAGTGCACTTTTTAATAATGTCACATTGAAAGTTTTTCTTTAAAGTACATTTTAAATCATTACGGTTTAATAATAATATAATGTAAAGTGTTTGAATTTATCTGTGTTCAGAAAATTAATATTACATTTAAAAATTGGTCATGAACGGCATTTATTTTTTAAACTTTTATAATGTTCTCTGAGGTCCACTTATAATGTTATCAAGATTTTTACATTTAAAAAAAAAATCCTAATTTAGAACAAATAAGCTATTTTCTATCCTGTTTTTGACCCTCTCTTTCGAACACTCCGTTTTGATGGACGTGTCGCATTCAAGACTTGGAAGTAAACGCCCACTGCTATGATTGCGTAACAGTTTTGCAAAAAAAAAAAAAAAAAAAAGTATTCATTTTTTATTCATGACCCCTTTAAAGTTAATATAGTTAAAAAACATCATTAAAATGTGTGATCGCAAATATATTTCAATACATGAGATACAAATTTTAAATAGAAATTCCATTTAAGTATATTTTACTTATATTAAAGTATATTCATGTAAATAAATGTCAGTACACTTTAACCATATTTCAATAGACAATAGAAGTAATCCTGAAATTACATTTCATGTATTTTAAATATTTAAATTTAAATAACATGCAATTAAGTGTCCAAAACATTACATTTAGTTCACACTTAAATATATTATTTTAAAGTATATTATTTCCGTAACAACTGCTCTTTTTAAAAGTGAGCTAAAGGGTAAGCTAACTTTAAATAATTTTTTTGTACATCTATAATGTGTAACCCACACCAACTTAAATAGAACCGGTATAGAACCGGCTTCACAATAATCTACAGAAAAAAAGAAGAAGCTGTTTGGCTGTTAAACTGAACCCGTCTCTCATTCAACAACTATTCATTAATATAAAGACATCCTCTTATATCACTTGACATACCATATTGCTAGTATAGAAATGAAGGATCCCCAGCTGGGACCTGAACATCTGCAACCTGCACTCTGTATTGAGGTAATTAGCATATTCCCACAAGAATCATAAGCCCAGCTGCAAACAAACACATACACCCTTGGCTGTGGTGTCATATACACACACTCTATCTGCTTTAACAGCACTGATGTTTAGCAAGAGGGGGATTATACCATGAACTCTGACATTCAGATGCTATTTTAGTCATCATGATGGATATGGCCATGAATTTTTTCATATGTATACCATATTACAGTATATTCAATACAATATTGCAAAATGTAAATGTTAGTGTAAATTGACATTTATGCATTTGGTAGATGCTTTTAACCAGAGACTTACATTTCATTTAAAGTATAATACAGTGCATTCCCTGGGAATTGAACCCATGAAGTTGGCATTTGAAATGTCAATTTACCTCTAAATGTTAAGTCAAATTGTTAAATCTGCATCTAAAAGTTTACTCATCACACTCCTACATGTAATGTCAGCAGTGCACAAGTCTCTTTGCATAAGCAGCATTGCATTGAGACTAACTTTTTAATCACAAAACAACCAGTGCTGAAATGTGGCACATAAACCTTTAAGATCGGACTGAAATTATGCAAAATGGTTGGTTTTGGAGTTCTTTGCAATATGTTTTATGCCTTGTGAAAAAGATGTACACTTTAGCATACGTTTAGCACGTATAACAGAAAAAATATACTTTAAAAGAATATACTTAAGTGTATCCTAAATGTAATATTTTCAGACACTTCATTCCATGTTATTTACAAAAAATAAAAATTAAATATACTGTCTTTAATAACACTTAAGTAGCCTTTTATTTCATTGATATTATATTATCTGCATGTATATACTTTTAAGATTTGAAGTACACTACAAGTTCACATTAAATACAATTAAGCGCACTTCTCTTTCACAAGGGATACAAACAATTTTATTTAAAAAAATATCAAAGAAATTTAATTACTTGTGATATGAGCCGATTAAATGTGGTTGAGGCATGCATTCTTGAAGTTGAGCATATTAACTTGATCAAGTTTAGGGGTGGAATGGTGTTTTAAGGTACACTATGTATCTTTTAGTGGTTAAAAAACAAAACATGCATTTTGTGGATAAACATTGGTTGTGCTTTGGCTCTGTGTGACTGTGTGCGGATGAATAATGTTATCCTTTACTGCTCATAAAACATTCACTACTAGGCTTAAGAGATAAGACCAGTTTAGATGAAAGGATCTCAAGCTGATTAGCTGAAGATTAGCCATCTTTACGTCACTTTTACAACATGTCAAATCCATCAGTTCTCGCCATCTCCGAAAAGCAATGCCAATGTTGATTCTCGGTTTATTACAAGCTATATACAATTTTGTTTTAGCCAGTAAACTCTCCTCTCTTCAGTGTTTTTTTTTTTATTTAAATTTTTTTAAAGGGTGATTCCACTGAGGTTGGAGATTTAGCTTCTCCATGTCAACCTTCTACCTTCTGCCACTCCCAAACCATTCACACGTCAAAGTAGCCAGGGAAACTTTTCTCTATTGACGGATATGACGAGAAACGCACGGGCGAGTGATGCATGTACGCAATTTCCAGTAAAACATCCAGTCACGTCGAAAATATAAACACTTATAATAGGCTTGTCATAGTGAATCAGGGTAAGACAAAAACACGTTTTGGAAGAAGGATTGATTATATAATTAATTACTATATTAATTATTACTAATATAGACTTATTTAAATTTTGTTAATTTGGAACAAAACAAAAAAACTTACATAGTGTACCTTTGTCACGATTACCTTGTCTCTGTTTTCATGGACTCTTATTTTGATATTCTTTTGTCTTGTTGTGCCTATGTGCATTTCCTGTTTCCTGTGTTTCCATTGCTGTTAGTTTCTATAGTTTGTAACCATGCCAACTAATCACCTGCACCTGTCTATCATTAGTCCCTTGTTGTCATCTAGTGTATTTAAACCCTCAGTCATCCTCTGTTCATAGTCTTGTGTTAATGTTCTGTGCTGGTATTTCTCTTTATTGTTCCTTGTGTTTTTATTTTACATCTGCTTCAAGCCTCTTGAATCTGGATTATCAAGTCAAGCCAGTATACATGACAATCTTTAAGATACTGGAAAAGTCATAAAATAAAACATACCCAGACAAACATAATCCTGGCAGTGGTGCTATCTTTTTCAAGGTGAGAGCATCCATGCCCTGTGAAGTATGTAGGTCAGAATAGTATCCTCTCAAATGTGTGGCTGGTGGGCAGATTGCAGTAAGCACAGATGGTTTATGACTAGGATCTGAGCTGTTCAAGTCTCTCAAAGGTCTTTGCAACTAGTTAGCAGTCTTAGGAATGTTGATGTTCTCATTTTGTTGTAAAGAAACAGCGCCAAGGCTATTTTTTTATGGATTTCAGGGGGAAACAGAGGCTGAGCTTGATCCCATACTGACCTTTTGTTTGCTCTAAAAGCAACATTGATTGCACTTTGTCTATCTTCAAAACCCAACATATGTATACAAGTCATGTGTACTTCAATCATGCATTTGGACCAGAAAAAAAGACATTTAAATGATCAAATCTGTGGGTTTAATAACAGGATAATCCTTTGTAATGATGTGACAAGCCTCTGTGATATATTGTGTTTTGTGCCCACACAGTCCCCTCAGATCCAAATGTCAGGGAAAGGTGGAATAATAATAAATGACAAGAAAACCTGAAATATAACAAAAGGCACGCAGGTTTGTAGGCTTCTCAAGAAGAAAGAGAATATGTTAGAGCTGACAATAGAGGGGGATAATAGAGACTGAAAAAGCTGGCTGGTATTGTTTGCCTGGTAACTGTCACTTTGAGCATGAAAGACAAGAGAAAAACTGGGATTTTTTATGCATCAACAATTACAGCCACACTTTTGGTCTTGTATGTATTAGCTTGATCTGATTAATTTAAGAATGGCATCAATTATCAAAATTTAGATTTTTAAAAGCAAAATGACAAAGAAATTGGCTATTGTGTGTTTATATAGCCCATATTGTCATTGGTTAGAGGATTTGAGTCCATTCTGAAGTATAGAAATAGTACTTTCAGACCACAAATGACAGCGTTCCATAACTCAATCCAAGATCACCAGAATACAATGGAAAAACAGGGAGACGATGTGGTTTGAATCCTTTAAAAAATAAATGGTCTCCTTTAAATTTAGTTAATTTTTTAGATCATAAATTATATTGTTATATTGTCACGCAAGTTGCAGTCTGAATTGAATTAGATGAGATGTTTGTACCAAAAAAATGCACCTTTCGCGTTTTCAGTGCTGTTGTCCTCGCAGTCTTCACAAACAACAACAACAACATAACACCCAATCAGGTGTTGTCACAAGGATGAAGATGAAGACGGAGGAGAGTTAAAAAAGGTTCCTACAAACAAAATGGTTCTTTAATGAAAACAAACTCAGGTAATCTACAATGATGAGGAGAAAGTAACAGCATGTGTGTAACATGCACACACAAACAACAACCTACAAACGCAGAGTGAAGGTAAGGATCTTAAATAAACAGTGATAATGAGGAGATGAAGAACAGGTGTGATGATCTGATGAGTGTCCATGACAACTGATGAGTGGCGGGAAAATAAAACACATGTGATGAATGAAACCAGACTGAAAGTCCATGAAAGTGAAACTTAAAGGGATAGTTCACTTTGAAATTAATTGTTGATATGTTTTAGCTTACCTCCAGTGCATCCAAGATGTAGGTGTCTTTGTTTCCACAGTATCTTCAATTTTGATAATTTTAGGTAAAACCGTTGTTGTCTGTCAGTCATACAATGGAGGTGAAGGGGGTCCTCCTCAAAGAGCAGTCAAAATTAAACATTATTTAATGACTCATAAATGTAAGTACACATTGATGCCCTAAGACACGAAACGAGTGGTTTTTGTGAGAAAACGAACAGTATTTATATTGTTTTTACCTCTTGTAACCACAGCCATGCCCAAGTTATCTGAGGGCGCGGACGCTTCCGTGTGTGACGTGTACGCAGACTGGTGCATATATATATATATACCCTAGATGTCGCCTTGGCTAAGGTTTCGTTCCAATGAACTGCCGTCGCCAAGGCGACATCTAGTTTATCTATGCACCAGTCTGCGTACACGTCACACACGGAAGCGTCCGCGCCCTCAGATCACTTGGACGTGGCTGTGGTTACAAGAGGTAAAAACGATATAAATACTGTTCGTTTTCTCACAAAAACCGCTCGTTTCGTGTCTTAGGGCATCAATGTGTACTTACATTTATGAGTCATTAAATAATGTTTAATTTTGACTGCTCTTTGAGGAGGACCCCCTTCACCTCCATTGTATGACTGACAGACAACAACGGTTTTACCTAAAATTATCAAAATTGAAGATACTGTGGAAACAAAGACACCTACATCTTGGATGCACTGGAGGTAAGCTAAAACATATCAAAAATTAATTTCAAAGTGAACTATCCCTTTAAGATGAATAAGTCCAGGTAACTGTGACAGGTGTAGTCCAATTCATGGTCTTGTCCAATTTCATGACTCTTATTGTTGGTTTTTGAATAGTTCAAAATGATTCAGGAATTTACAAATTACCAGAGTTGAATCAGCATGATGAATCCTTCACTCCCTCAATGAACTCACTAACTGAACTGCAAGTTAACGTTACTATAAGTAATGCTTTGAAATTCAGCAAGTTTTGCTTCAATGACTCATTCATACGACATAAAAAAGACAGAAACTTTTTATTACTACCACAGTGCTTCTCTGACCAGAAATCAATCTGCACACATTTTTTTTGTATTGTCCATTCTGATTTTGAGAGAAAATGTAGAATAAAGTGGATTGGATTTAAATATAGCAAAACAAATCAATTGAAAGGGAGTGTTGTAGACAGGGCTGTGTCCTTTCTCCTTTGCTCTTTATTATGTACACTGATAGCTGCAGGACTTCCCAACAGGGTAGCTACCTTGTGAAATTTTCTGATGACACTGCCCTACTGTCACTTCTTCGGGGGGCCCAATCGGGCCATGGAAGTGCCTTATCACAATTTGTGAATTGGTGTGATGATAACTTACTGGACTTTAATGTGACCAAAAACTAAGGAGTTAATCATTGATTTTAGAAATAACCGTTTTAACCCAGAAGCCAGCATCATTCATGGCGAAAATGTTGAAATTGTAGAGACGTATAAGTACTTAGGAACCATGTTTGACTCTAACCTCAAGTTTGACAAAAACACAGAGTCAATCACTAAGCGGGGACAACAAAGAATCCACTTGATGTGGAAGCTAAATTCTTTCAATGTATCTCAGAGGATCTTATGTAACTTTTATTATTCATTTATTGAAAGCCTTTTAACATTTTCTTTTATCTGCTGGTTTTATGGATTGTCTGTGGGGGACAAGAATAGCCTCAGCAGTATTGTTAAAATCTGCTCCAAGATCATTGGAGTTCAGTTGACAGACCTACACCCCCTTTGGAAAAAGACGGGTGCTCTAGAAGGCTAGACAGGTCATGAGTTATCCTGACCATGTTCTTGGTCAGGAATTCTGTCTGATGCCCTCAGGACGGCGCTACCTTGCCTTACTAACAGATATGGAAATTCTTTTATTCCCTCTGCCATCAGGTTTTTAAATACTGTTGACAGCGGCAACTAGATATGTGCCAGGCATCGTAAACCTCTGTATTTACTATGTATTTATTATTTACTTAGTATTATTATCTATTTATTTATCTATTTATCTACTTGAACGTCGGTCTCTGCTTAGTTTATGTATTGTGGCCTGTGTATTTGCTTTGTTCTGGGGCCCAAATGCAATATGATGTCCTTGACAGTGTTTCTGAATGCTTGACTAAGTGTTGTCTTCTTTTCTTGTTGATACGACTGGTGGGCTAAAACTGAATTGCCCTACGGGGATAAATAAAGTTGTTTGAATTAAATTGAATTGAATTGTACTCTCAAAATCAAAATTGCCAATATACTTAATGAACAAACACACAAGGGGCAGTGGATGTCTATACTGTATATGGATGTGTTTACATTGACTGTGCATCTGCAACCTAGTTATTCACATGTATGAATATGTATGTCAGCAAATAGACATTAAAGGTCACCCAAAAATTAACATTCTGTCATTATTTACTCACGCTCAAGTTTTTCCAAACCCATATGAATTTCTTTCTTCTGCTGAACACAAAAGAAGATATTTTGAAGAATATGGGGAACTAAACAGTAGATGTGCCCCATTGAATTCCATTTTTTTTCCATACTATGGAAGTCATGGAAGGTTTGGAAAAACTTCAGGGTGAGTAAATGATGACACAATTAAAATTTTTGGTTTGGGTAAATAAAAGTTCCCTTTAAGCATTTAGTTTATCATTAATGTGATAATTCTTCATGGATATTACACATTGTGTTATACACAGAAACACAAACCAGCACATTCTCGTCTCTGAAATGTTATTTATAGCTCAGTGGTTTTCACAGCCATAGACTGCACAATTCTCTGACATTTTCGATGAAAATTAATTAATGTGATAAACAGCATCATATTAACCGTTCCAAGATGGCGGACGTGTCGACTTGTCTGGAGCGGTCGAATGAGCCATCTACTTATACATATCTATAGATGTGTAGGTATTCTTCCTACCTGATAGACCTGAGTCCTCCTCACTGTTGTCGCCCTCCTCGCCTGCCTTCTCCAGGTTGCTGAGGGACTTGCTACGGGTACGGAAGTTTCTCAGCAGGTTGCGGTGCTCCTGGTAGGTGATGGGAGGGCTTTCTGGACCGATGTGAACAGGACGAGGGGTTCCGTAGTAGTTCCCTAATCCAGGAAATATAAGAAGCTTCTCACTCAGGCCTTCCAGGGACAGTTATAATACTGCTTGGAAGTTATTTTGTTCATGAAGTGTTGATTTAGTTCCTTTATTTTAGGGTCTATTAGTGTTGGTAGTTATATCCTCTGCAAAACACTGAATCACCCTAACCTCATGGTACAGGAAACATGTTACATTTTCTCTCTCTCTCTCTCTCTCTCTCTCTCTCTCTCTCTCTCTCTCTCTCTCTCTCTCTCTCTCTCTCTCTCTCTCTCTCTCTCTCTCTCTTTAATTTATTATTATACAATGTGTATTTAATGATTTTTTTTATTAACAAAGTTCGGGAGGAACACGTTCAAATGATCTCAATCAGCACAAGAGGAGGCCTATATATAGCCTACACACCTATGTTCCTCAATAGTTTTCCGAATCCCTCCAGCTCCTCACTATTGGCTGGTTCCCATCCCACCCAGGAATATGGGGGGAGTACTCTGGGTTTGGGCCAAATTCCGACTTTGGAGCTCTCCCTTCGCCAAATACGCATACTCTCTACTCTATTTGAATATTTGTAAGTGTGAACAAATGAAACACAATTAAAGGATTTACATTCTAGGGATTTATGGCTAGTGGTTAAAGCCATGGATATGCTGTATTATTTCTTGCAGAGTGAATCAATAGCTTTATTTCAATACAAATAGCTAACAGGAGCAACAAATCAAGGTCACCTTAAAAACAGAAGATAATCCATTATATTGTTATAGTATGTTCTCTAAAAACATAAAAACCACCTCAAGGATGGAATACTATACAACAGGGGTGACATTATATCTTCGGATGGTACAGATTTTGAACGCGTCCTGATCTCCATCTGTTATTGATTGAGTAACTTGCCTTTGCAGTGGTAAGTAAATCATACCCTGCCGTGCCGGCAAGGTGAGAATGGCGTTTACGGCATTTTGTAAATGCGTCTGCATTTTTTATGCTAATTCATTTTATTCGTTTAATCAGGCGGGGTAGGCGATCCTGCCCCTGAGAGCCATAGCTTACATGCTAAAGGCACATGTGTCTCAGAGCCCACAGTAATGATGCTGAGAGAGGAATGAGCTTGGAATTCCACACTGAACACTGAATTGCGATACATTTGCCATGAAATGCCTATATTGAAGGGTATTTCTGTGTAATGGACAATGAGCTTTTATCTATAGTGTAAACTGACATTATGTGGCTCAAAGTAGTGTAAGCATTTCTGCAATTTACTATACAAAATTATAATACTATGTTCAAACATAAAGACATGAGACAGACTGAGATAAACTGAAGGTAAATTAAACTTGCTCTTATTATCAGTTTTACTTCCTCGTGTGAAATATCACTCTATTTTAGATATTTTATAAGACCTCAATCAAGTTTTGCTTCTCCAAACATGTTAGAAAATATAACATTAAAATACCATTAAAATAAGGATGTTACAGAAGAAATAGGATACTAACCAATTTAGAAAATTGTGAAATTCATGTAAACTGTTCACTTAAATTGTTATGCTGACTATATAATATAATATAATAATATAATATAATAATATAATATAATATAATATAATATAATATAATATAATATAATATAATATAATATAATATAATATAATATAATATTAAAAAAGAGTATCAAGAGTATATTATGAAGACATATACAGTATACTCGATATATCGGCATGATTTCTTTTTTGGCATAGAACACAAAATACATTATTTATCAGAAATTCCTGAACAATATTATTTTTTCTTCAACAACAAAAATCCAAAAAGGATTAAAAAAAATGATAAAAGGGCTCTATACAAGTTGTGTGCTATTTTCAAAAGCCATGATATCTTTGTATGAGAAACAGGATGAATGATGTTTTTGGGTGAGCTATCGCTTTAAACTTTGAGCTGTTGGATAGATGAGTATTGCCAACACAACAGTTGTGTTGATGCATGTTGATGTGTGTAAATGGAGCTCCAACTGTGAATCAATAGATCAACACTGGATAGAAAGCCCCATAGATATAATGCGCGACCTTAAAAAGAGTCCAGAGAACAACTGAAATAATGGATTTGCACTGTAACACTTTATTTTCTTCATAAATTATTCAGGTATGGTGTCATGAACGTGGGCTGACCTTTGAACTTTCCACTTTCCAACAGCGCCCCCGACTCCTCCAACGAGAAGAACTCCTCAACGGACACAAAGTTATAGTCGACTCCCGTGATCTCGCCGTCTCGTGGCTGTCTAGTCGTACCTGCGGGTGACATTGTACAGAAAGGGACGCGTTAAACACAGCAAGTCCAAATAAGTTAAAGGGTTATTGACAGATCGCTGACCCGCACTTCGGCTCAGTGTGTGTGTATGTGTGTCTGCTGCCAGATTAAGACGGCATTTTATCCCCTCTCCATCCAGCCTTGACTGACAAGTTAACAGAGCTATGAACAGCCCAGACCAATTACAGCGATCCAGCCTCAAAAATCCGACACGGCCCTCCCTCTCTCCGCAGGCTTTGAAACGGCTCCACGCTGACACAACATCAATCACGAATTCTTTATCACTCTATACCACACACACACACGCACAGATCCTACCTCCTTTCCGCTTCAGTATCTCTAATTAAGAGTCTGATAAGCGAAATCCCCCAGTACATCACAACATGAGCATTAGTCCCAGCCCTTCACTCTTGAGGTCCTGCACTCTGCAAGTGTGTGTGTGTGTGTTTATATTGATATTTTCACCCGCAGCTCACACAGCCAGAGGCGTACTGGAATGATTAGACCGAATTACTAACCGCCACACCCACCACACGTCAATCTCAGATAGACAAGAGGACACTCGGAGCGAGGACAGGGAAATGCAGCGTCTGTCTAATTTAAGGCTGGCCTCAAGGGTGTGTGTGGGAGCATATGTGTGTACAAAATTAAGCAATGCCTAATGCACGTGAAATGAGTGGATTCTGGGCAAAAATACTGTTGTGAATGGTGTATAATAGGAAAGGTCTGTACATATCACGTGTTATGCATTTGCAAACTGCATGTCGGGATGTTTGCGCAACTGAGTGTTCATTTAATAATCAGTAATATACACAATGAGTTTATTGACGTTAGCATAGATCATTCTGAAGACAAGCACACTGCTGTGTGTTTAACAGATGTAAAATTGTGGCAGGCCGCTCGCGGTTTGGATGGTATCGAGTGGGTTTCTTCCATGCCAGTGGACATGTAACGAGATGGATAGATGGCAGGCTTTGAAACGGATGTGAGATGTGAGAAATGAAAGATCAAACATTGTGCTGTATACTGCATGCTAGAAAGGAATCCAAACACAATTCAATATGCAAATATTATAAGGAAAATAAGCTACATAAGGACAAGCAAAAACATCTGTCTTCCGTCTTATAGGTTTTTTATGTGGAAATTTGCTAATAAACAGACAATAGATTTGTTCTTTATGGAAGCTGGTTTCTTAAAAATGAAATAAAATAATATGATGTGACCTTATTCTCCTGATTGCGCTGTTATATCACAATTTCAATCATACTTTCCAATAAATGTGACTACGTATATCTCATAAAAGTGTTTTTCTCTTTTACAAATGTACAATTTTACAGTCACAATTATCTTTATTTATTCTAATTGATAATTGATTGATATAATATTTATATTTCACAATTGTATCTTTATATCTCAAAATTGTGGCTTTTTTCACATTATGCACTCTCAAAATCTCACAATTGCAACTATTTGAATTAAAATTATGCATTTTACACCTCAGAATTGTTAAAAATATGACATGGAAATAGAGTATACAAATAATTTACTACACACATCAAATAAACTTTTAGAGTTTAGAACTTTTAGAATTGTGCCTTTGTATCTCAAAACTGCACCTTTATTTCTCACATTTGCAATTATTTTTACCAATTGGGACTTATATCTTACAATTGTATCTTTATACCTCAAAATTGTAGATATTTTCACAGGTGTGCATTTACATCTCACAATTCCAACTTCATGTCACAACTGCGACTTTGTTTCTATTAACTGCAACTTTACATCTCATAATTTGCATCTTTATGATTTCTTATAATTGCAGCTCACAAGAAAAGATAACATTTATTTGAAATTTTCTCACTGTTACGGGTACCTGTAGTAAATCCACAGGAATGATGCGTGAAGCAGAGCGTCGAACGAACAATATCTTTATTAAACAGCAAAGTCAAGAGCACACTACACTTCCAACCAAACATTATTACAAGACAAAGAACTGATGCAAACTAAGGGTTTAAATACACAAAGGATAGTAAGTAAAGGGTTAGTTCACTCAAAAAGGAAAATTATGTCATTAATGACTCACTCTCATGTCGCCCCAAGCCCGTAAGACCTCCGTTCATCTTCGGAACACAGTTTAAGATATTTTAGATTTAGACCGAGAGCTTTCTGTCCCTCCATTGAAAATGTGTGTACGATATACTGTCCTTGTCCAGAAAGGAAATAAAGACATCATCAAAGTAGTCCATGTGACATCAGTGGGTTAGTTAGAATGTGTTGAAGCATCGAAAATACATTTTGGTCCAAAAATAACAAAAACTACGACTTCATTCAGCATTGTATTCTCTTCCGGTTCTGTTGTCAATCCGCGTTCACGAGTCCACAGTGACGCTGCTGACGTAAGACGCTGCTGACGTGTATCTGGTGCGTCAGTGCTTCGTTTACAGTCTGAGGGAGACGCACGCTGTAAACAAAACAATCTTCGCAAACATGTCTAAGGATTTCGATACAGAGGAAGACTTGCATTTTTTTTGCCCAGCCATATTTATTTGAACCCGAATACTCGGGCACACCAGATAACACGTCAGCAGCGTCTTACGTCAGCAGCGTCACTGCGGACTCGTGAACGCGGATTGACAACAGAACCGGAAGAGAATACAATGCTGAATAAAGTCGTAGTTTTTGTTATTTTTGGACCAAAATGTATTTTCGATGCTTCAAAACATTCTAACTAACCCACTGATGTCACATGGACTACTTTGATGATGTCTTTATTTCCTTTCTGGACAAGGACAGTATACCGTACATACATTTTCAATGGAGGGACAGAAAGCTCTCGGACTAAATCTAAAATATCTTAAACTGTGTTCCGAAGATGAACGGAGGTCTTACGGGCTTGGGACGACATGAGGGTGAGTCATTAATGACATAATTTTCATTTTTGGGTGAACTAACCCTTTAATGAAACAATGGAAAACCAAACTAACGCTTCCTTAGTTTGGTTTCTTCTTGTCGTTAAGTAGTGCATATTTAATTATTTGAAGCATATTATATGTTTTATACACAGCGATAATAGCAAGCTGACCATCTAGTGCAGTGAATGTTAATATGGTTGTCTATATCGTTTTGGCTTTAATAAGATTTCCCCACTAGGCAAGAATAAACCTGATGTTTTCCATGATTCCTGTTCTCTCCGACAACAAAGTACTTGAATGCAACAAGCTCATAATCACAACTACTGAAGTGGGAGGTTGTAGCTGATAGCATGTAAAGGCAGCATAAAACACACCGAAACTAAACCACCCTGACACTCACAACTACTGTTTGCTATATAAACACTTATCTAACAATCTCTTTGTAGTTAGCATTAGCTTACAATTACTGCGGTTTTACTTAATATAGCTGCAGTTTTGTATATCTGAATATAAATATATACAGTAGTAATGGTATGGCAATGTGGAGTTACAAATATATTCAGTGGCATACGAGACAAAAAAAAATGTTTCTGGTCACCGAAATAGACTTGGGAGGTAAACAACAGCTTGCTACTATTACAAATATGCTAAAATTGCAAACCTAAAAAACTCTTCTACAAACCCTCTGTTATTTTGAAAGTCTACAAATATCAGCAAAAATTCCCCGAGGCTCACAGGGTTGGCAGTGGTATCACAATCCTCACAGACACTATAGACAAGCTCAGTGTGAATAATTCTCTCAGAGCTCCAGCTAAGTGATTGAAGCACACATCAGAGACATCGAGAACACATTAGGACTCTCACCCTCCATGAATTAATGATGAGCTCATTAATTGATTGCCAGGTGTTCCTGACCCTGCGTGTCATAACGGTGACCTTCTATAAATAGCCTCACGCTGACCTCAGCAAAACCCAAGGTCCTTCTTATGACAGATTCAGACCCACAGCAAGAGTGACACTTCAGTTCACACTCACTCAAACAAACACGCACTCAGCAGAAGTCTTCCTTCAACACGAGTACAGGGGAATTCAGCAGGGCGTACTGATACATCTTATTTCCACTTTGGTGAAGGACCACAAATTATGCTCAAGGCACGCACAAAGCAAATGAATGACAAACACATGGTGCCAAAGGGAAAATTATGTAACTTGAATACATTTTTGGCGAATCGGTTTAGCAGCACTGATGTATAAAAGAGTTTAAAATGTCATTTTTACTTTTTAAAACACAATCAAACTAGTTGATTTTGAAAGTTCATTGTACATCATACAAAAGCAGAGTAATGTGTGCAGTGTGCAATCTATTCTCTAAAGAGACTCCCTCTTTACTTACCCATTATAAAAGCCATTTAATTTGATTCTATTGCATGAATAATTGATAAACGACCGACCGTTTCTTAATTCCTTTAAGCGGTTTAATCCTTTATGTCCTGCGCTCTTCTTTAGCAGTGGACCATGTGAACTCTCTCTCAGCGCCGCTGCCCCAGTCGATCTCTATTGTTCAATGGCTTTGGTTTAGTTGAACTGCAGCTATATTTGCTTTATTCTAATGTGCCCTCATTTGAAATCGATACAAAATCACTTTAAATATCTGAAAATACTTCTAAAAAACAATGTAGTCTGTGGTGGACGGAATCATAGACATACAGTATGGTGAGAATGAATTTACCATGCTAAAAATAGTATATTAAAACCTGCTTGTATGCATACTGTTGACCTCTTTATAAACTTGAAATGAGGCATGACGGGATAAAGAGCATTAAACAATCCAATCAAGTCAGAAAATACAATCATAAAGTGAATTAATTTCAAAATGAATTATAAGTATAAAACTAAAATGTTTGCTGGGGATTTAAGTGTTCCCCTTAGACTGTATATCGAATGTATTATTGCAATATATTTTGCACACACATATTTGCACACTGTCCTCCTCCTGCCTACAGCTATATGAGACAGACATTATGTAACAATGGTCTGATACAGTCATACACTCTCTAATACAGTCATTA